TCCTGACATCATTAAAATTCCACATGTTTCTTTCCATTTTGGTTTATAAAATTATAACAAGATGGCAAAAGGGGGTAACCATCTGAAGATGATTACATTGGATTGGAATCCTGAACTTCACTGGGAGCTCAACTTTGTCAATTTATCTAGGGAATTTAAAGTCCCACGATTTTTGAGGCAGAAAAAGAGCCACTCACTTGGTTTTTAATAAGTTACAAGTAATGTTGATGTCAATGGATTAATAGTCCTAGAAAACTTAAGCTGTCCAGGAGTCTAAATCTGAGCCGATAACTGATTAACACCCTAGGTTCCTAGCATTCCATCACGCTTCTAATGTTAACGTCCTTGTCTGCCACTCTATTGAGTATTTACCTTATTGTAAGGCTCCTAGCATTCCACCACGCTTCCGTTGTTAACGTCCTTGTTTGCCTCTCTATTGAGTATTTACCTTATTTAATGGTAGACCCTTGTACTCACCTAATAGTAATCAATGACTTAACACAATGTACCTCTTGGAATTAGAACCCTGGACATGGGGTGGCTTTGCTATCACATGTTAAGAACCAGCCAATATTCGTCAATCCCGAGCTGAGCAGAAAAGCTATTTAGTTAAATCACCTATGATGAGAATTTGGTGAGACTAGTACTCAAATGAGAAAGGGCACATTGGTTTGAATCTTGGAACCCGAAAAAAAGCTGCAAGAAAATTAGCTTTCTCTTATTTTAGGTAAACTTTTTGTTCTTCCCTTAAGATTCAAAAGTGGTTAGATCTAGCTGTCAAAGAGATTTGCCAAAATGTGGAGTTTCCAGTCGTTCAGGAATCTTGAAGTGCATTTCACAAGCCATTCTCCACTCTCTATTCGCAATGAAATAATAGATGTGACAGTTCTTTCAAATTCTACATCGTACAGCCTAGAGAAGTTAAACATAAGCTGTGGTTGATTGCAGAAGTAAATTTTCACCTTTATATGTTATTTTGTTGTGGTGATTGTTCATGAGATAAAAAGTTCGCTTTTCCCTGCTGTAATCACCTTCAATGAAAATCTCCCATAAATATTTTCTCGTGGCTTTCACAACAAAAATTAGGTTATTGGTAAACTTGGTTTATCCCCTAGGTATCTATCCTTATTTGTACAACCTTTCTTGTTTAGCTTGGCTGAGACTTGTATATAAAAGTGTGAAAAAAACTTAGATATATTTATATCTGTATGGACTATATCTCATTTGTATTGCATGATGGTTACATGATCTGTGCCAATCTAAAGCTACTAAGCCTTTTGCTGCAGGGATGGATTTCCACGAGTTATTGGACATCCCTCAAGGAGATCGCAGAAAATACCATGATGATGTTACAGTAATGGTTATATCACTTGAAGGCCGAATTTGGAAATCATCGGGAAAATATTTATGAAGACCTGCTAACAATCGGTTGCAATCTTTTCCACTGATTTATTTGGGTGCAAAAGAACTCAGCCTGCTGGAAGTTTCAAGCACATAATATGGAAAGGCTTCAAATACTGTCAGTCCCGTTTGGTTGGCAAGTTCGGTTTCTGATCCATTTTTGGTGGGTGCTCAAAGAAGTCTTTATTTCAAAAACATGGCAGGAAGTTTCAAGTTTAGTCCATCTCCAAATGCTTAGAGCGGGAACTGATGATTTATGACTTAGCAGCGGGAGTTTGGATTGTGTTTTGATGGTATCATTGGGATAAGGTTTGGGTTTTTTTTTTTCTTCTCTTTTGTCAATTTTGCATAGAGGTGAAAGGTCTTTCACATTTTTTATCTTGGTCTTTTGTTTTTCGTCCATGTTTCCTATGCGCAAGGAAATGTGTCTTAGGTTAGGAAAGAAAAGGGGGGGAAGGGATTACTTGGTGAACATCTGTAACCTTGTGATGTTTCACCAAAGCAGTTTATAAGAAAATGAAATTTTTTTATTGGAATACTCCTTTTAGTGGTGAATTGGTGATCTCAATAGCTCCTGTAAAAATAGTAGTCTTTACATGCACAGTTATACAAGAACCTGTAAATAAGTTATTGCAGTAAACTCCGTTTAGCATAAACGATGAGCAGCTAACAGCAAGATCCCCAAGTGGATTATCATAAAACCTGGAAGAAACAAGAATACTGTTGTGGTTGCGAAACTGGAAGGACATTCATGTAGTTGAGACCTTGTTAAAGAATTCACATGGAGTAAAACAAGCAGAGAATGGGAAATTCAACAATAGGCCTACACATTCGCACAACACAGAAGTACAGACAAAGTACAGAACATGAAGTATCAGTATTACCCGAAGAAACCATCTAGCACTATGATGCACTTTTTGTTTCACGTTTCGAAAGGGTCTGAAACATATGCTGTAAAAGGAATGCAAGGGTCTGAAACATATGCTGTAAAAGGAATGCCAGACTATTAAAGAAAAAGCTTCTGTGCTCTAGTGTCCAGAGGTCTTGTGGGCGGGGTAACTTCAAAGTGTGTAGAATTGAAAAGGGCAAAATAAAAATGTATCTCAGGTGTAAGGTGGTTGTGCAAACCTCTATCACCATTTCATTCAATACTACATCATCTGTTTTACAGAACAGGAAAAATAAATACTACTTGAAGACAATCCATAAAAAAAGATCAGTAAAGCTACATTAAAACCTGTAATATATCAAAAATTCAACTTTACAAGTTGGATACAACAGCCGATTGATTGTTCGTGCAAAAATATAGTCTCAACACTTAGGCACTTGCAGCAGCAGACTGAATTCTAGATTGTACCCATGATCTTAAATCCTCCTCAGTTGCCACAAAATACCCAGCCTTCTCCTCACTCTGCGTAAATGGTGCACCTAGCTTCTTTAAATGGGAATCCACAGCATTCGCTAATCCTTCAGAAAACTTATGGGTACCAGCACCAGCATAAGCAGAAAACAGTTTTGGCAATGTTTCCTGTCGTTGGATGACTTTCGATACCGCTCCCATCCATTCTTCAAATGCAGTTTGTGCTGCACCAACTGACAATGATCGAAGATTTAATGACCATTCTTCTGAAGTCTTTGAATGTAATCCGGGGTACAGGCCATAAAGGATTCCACAGTACAGCAGTTCATGGGCTCTTTCATCGAGATTTTTGTTTCTGCAAATGTCAATCAAACAATTACAGTAAGGTCTACGCACTTCTACTTCAACCTCATTAAGGATCTGCTTGAATTCTTCTTTGATTCTATCCAAGTTTAGTTTCTCTTCTCCCAATATTTTAACAAAGGCAACTAACTTGGGATTCGCCCTCTCTAAGCAAGAAAGAATCATCCCTACTTCATCATCATTTCCACAAAAAGTAACTACAGACAACAAGCATCCACATAGACGATCATCGGGCTGAATTCCCCTCTGCAGACCAATGTTATATACCCTCACCACATCCTGAAATCTCTTTGCTCTTCCCAAACACTGAATTAAACAAGTGCAACCCATAACATTAAGCTTAACACCAAACTTTGACATCTCTTCAAATATAGACATTGCTTTCTCAACCTTTCCACCACTACCATAAATATTAAGCATTGCTGCATAACTCCAACTATCTGGCTTACATTTTGGTGATCCTTTCATGTCTTCAAACAATTTCTCAGCCTCTTCTTCTAATGCAAGAGATGCACACATACTCAACAATGTGTTGTAAAGAATAAAATCCATCGGCCAACCATTCGATCTCATTCGTTCCCAAAGCGCCAAAGCATCGCGACCCCATCTCGCCTTACCATATATTTTAACTAGTGCAGTCAAGGTTTTTTCATTCGGAGTCACCCCTGCAGCAACCATCTCTTCAAATAAGTTTCTAGCAAGACCAGGCTTTCCAGCCTTACCCATTCCTTCCAACAATGTATTGTAAACAACCAAATTGGGTTCAACTCCAACAGATTTCATTTCTTCCAAAACATACCTAATTCCATCATAATCACCAGCTTCACCAAACATCTTCCCTAAGACAGAAAAAGCAATATGGTCAGGCTTCCAACCACTTGCTCTTCCCCTCTCATACAAATTCAAAACTTCTTCCACCTTCCCTAACTTAGCATAAACATCTAAAACAGCAGAATAAGTAACTTCATCAGGCATCAAACCAGTCTTATACATTCTCTCAAACCATTCTACAGCTTTATCAAACAAATTACACCTCTTAGCACAACTAATAATAGTAGAATAAGTAATGTTATCTAACTCAATCTTATTCTCAATCATCTCATGTGCAAGTTCCTCAATGAGTTCAAACTGTCTTCCAAATCTCAAAGACTTCATAGTAACATTGTAGAAGATGGTTTCAATAGGAAACAAGTTTTGGGTCTTCAACCAATTGAAGAAAAAGAGAGCTTTCTGCCATGGTTTCAAAATATTAAGAATCAAAAGTGAGTTTTCTCTAGTAGGTGGATATGGGATTTCTTCCAAAGCAGCTAATAACTCAGATTCAACATTTGGGTCACAATCATTAAGCTTTTTAGCAAAAAGCTTAAGGTCTTTAAGCTTAGGATTAAGAGAATAAGAAGAACGTTGATGCCTTTGAAGAGATAAAACAGAACGTTTAGGTTTAGAAGGATTAACCCAAGTTGATTTAGGCTTTGTTAGAAGAGGAGGTTGAGGTAATTGGGTATCTGAAAGAAGATTAAGAGAAAGGGGTTTTAGTTGTTCAGATAAAGATTCATGTGGTTGTTGTTCTTCTACTAAACTTGGTGTTGTTGTTGTTGTTGTTGTTGTTGAAATGGATTTTGAAGTAGATTTAGAAGAATTGCAAAGAATGAGAAATCTTTTGTTGGGATGTTTAAGATAAGGTGAAGAAGAGAATAAGAAAATGGGTTTGTTTTTGGAGTTATGAAGATCAAGAACAGTTGTAGAAACTATAGAAGAAGTAGCCATGGAAGTGTGGAAAAAAAAAAACTACAGAGATAGAAAGAAGAAAAATCTTATCTTTTAAATTTGGGTTATGGGTTGAAGATGTTTGATGAAATGCGCCAAAGAAACAGTTAAAAAAATTTGGTAAGATCCACCGAAGTGGAAAGCCTTAACCATGTGTGGTAACAGGAAAGCCCGAAGGCTGCTCCCGTCCCTGTCAGGGGAGATGCCAACCGTCTCTCCTTTCTAACGAACACAGCCTGTAAGGACTAAAGAAGCTATATGATGAAAGTTTTAGCTGAGTTTCCTGGCAATGTGGGACTAAATATGTGTGCCCAAAGGATAAAAACAATAAAGAAAAACCATGCAGCTTGGATAGCAATTGATCACTTACACTCAGGTGTTGTTTGTTTACCGAGTTATACGAATAGATTTGTTGCAATTGTACATGCCTGATCATAATTCACATTTACTGTAAATGGAAATTATTTATTTGGTTTTTTCTAAAATCATCTAGAGCGAAAAAAGTATGTTCTTCCTTTTATTAGATCAAACAACAAAGTTCAAATACAACTGACAACAAATTCAAAGGGAAAACAAGAAAGATGCGGGCATACAATCTAGCTATAAGCTTTAGTTTAGAGCAACTTTCTAGCTCTCTGATTGGTACCAGTTGCCCAAAGAGCTGAACCATAGATTACAACATTCCCATCACTTTGAATGATCAAACGGTAGTCATTGGGTCCGCGTGCACTCCCACTGCTCCATACGACAGTAGTACCCGATAGTATCACAAGGTTCCCATCAGCCTGCATTGTAGCCTTGCATGTTGTTCCCCTACCATTAGTTGCAGAATTCCAAAGTACCCTATTTCCATTATACAACACAAGGTTGCAATCTGTTTGCATTATAAACCTATAAGGACCGTTCTCGATGAATTGTCCACCTTCCAAGGTTTCACGGCTGAATAGAATATCTTCAGCAATTGCACCATTGATGAATACCAAAGCTATAACCAAAAGTGCTGACAATGAGATGTTCAACTTGCTTGCCATGATAATGGATATGAACTATATGAAGAAGAATGTAAAGAAAATTGAAGAAGAAGAAGGTCTGATGAGTGAATTTGTAATGTGCATGGTTCTCTATTTATACATATTGATTGTTACATATTTACACCCACTACCGCGTTATATAAATATAAATATATATTTGGTTACTTAAGTCAATAATCTTGAAAGAGTCCCAGATATGAAAATGTCATGGCCATCTTTTTTGATTAAATGTGTCATTTTGTGATTTTGTCAAGGTGAAAACATTCATTCCAAAATATAATAAAGCAACAACAGGCTGCTGAATCAAGATAAAGCCCAATAAACTTTTATTTGGGCCTTGCTTGTTATATGCCTTGGACAGACTGTATCCATTTGTTGGTTAATTTTTTTTGATAAAGATACTTGTATTAAATATGAAAATCAAGATTACATAGTTACATAACGAGCCTGGGTGTGGCCTAAAGTATCAAACAAAGGAAAAGAAGTTAAAAAAAAACATGGTGGTTTAAGCCACCAAAAACTAGTCCAAGGATCATCCAGTAAGTTCTGCAGTTCCTCTGGGTATGGTTGAGTATGTACATAAATTTGCTCCTCCTTGATCAGTGATTGTGCTTGTGAAGTTGCAAATTTAGATGCGGCATCGGCAACCATGTTTCCTTCTCGATATCTCCACTTGTGCTTGTTGTTCACTTGGTTGTTGTTTGTATAGGGTGCCTGATCATAATTCATGTTTTCACCATTTTCTGTAAATGGAATTTCTTTTAGCTTTTCTAGAGTAGGGATGTCTACTTGGTGTACCTGAAACTAATCCGATTTTTTTGACCGAACACCAACCCAAAATCGAGTTCAACCCGACTAAATCGAAATTGATTTGACATATAGGTTTGGTTTAGGTCCATCTTCTTTAACCTGAATCGGGTCGAAACCGAACCGACACTTAATCTGAAACCCAAATTTTACAATCGAATCAAACTGCCTCAATTTAAGTAATAATG